ACAAAAAAACTGCACACTGATATTTATAGCAGACTTATTCATAGCTGTCAAAACTTGGAAGCAACCAAGATATCCTTTAGAAGGTGAGCGGATAAATAAACTGATACATCCAATGGAATATTATTCAGCACTAAAAAAAATGAGTTCTAGGAAACCGTGGAAAGACATGAAGAAAACTTAAATGCATATTACTAAAGTAAAGAACTTAACTGTATGATTTCAACTATATGAAATTCCGGAGGAAGGAAAACTATGGAAACAATAAAAATATCAATGATTGTCATGGGCTGGAGGGAGAAAGGGATGGATGAACAAGACAGCACAGAGGATTTTGAGGACAGGGAAATTGCTCCGTATGATACTATAATGACAGGTACGTGTCATTACACATTTGTGCAAACCCACAGAATGTACACCACCAAGAGTGAACTGTAATGTAAACTATGGACCTTAGGTGATTATGATATGTCAGTCTGGGTTCACTGATTGTAACAAATGTCATACAGCAGTGAGGCAGGTTGATGGGGCTGGCTGTGTGTATGTGGACGTAGTGGTATAAGGGAACCCTGTACCTTTTGCTGTGAACCTAAAATTTCTGTAAAAATAAGTCTATTTAAAAAATCTAAACATCAAAAAAAGACAATGTGCTTTATTAGCACAGTTTAAAATTTTGTGAAATTTTAAACAATTTATGCACTAAAGTAATATAAATGTCATTTGAAACTCAAAGGGTAGGTTAATATGCATACCTGAGGTGGTCATAAAATGACTCAGTACTAATCTCTGAGAGGGAAAAGAACTGGCTGTCAGGAAGTGTTGAAACACTCCTTCAAAAATCAGACCACTAATTTGTGATTTAAGTCTTTGTTTCTAGTCCCTGAGTTTGGGTAAAGCTTTTCCAGAAAAGACAAGTAAATTCAATCTGTAGTGAAATTAACTGCATTTTGACATCAGTATAATGTTGAATATGCTCTTAACGGGAAAACAGAGAAATAGAAATTCTGGGGTAGGACAGATGGAAACACTGGCAGACAGGCTGTGGCTGAAGAGTTAAGTGGCGATGCAAAATGAAATAAAAAGGAACAATGTTTTAAACCAGAAAGAGGACACAACTGCCATGCCAGTCCAGGCCAAAAAATGCCTGGAGAGACCCCTACAGAAGACTGAGGAAAGTGACAAGTTTGTAACATGTTTATGCTGGCTGAAGGAACAAGGCAGGAAGTGGGTAGGAGTGCCAAGAAGGAAGCTTTTCCATTTCCAAAAGCGTTCAGGGAGACGGTAAATTAACAAACAATAAACATTTGAGAGATATTTTCTGGTTAGAAGAGTCTACTATGAAATGGATTTGAATATAGTGTCTTACCTATTAATATATTTTACAAGACAAATAAAAGGTATGTTACATTGTAAATTAGAGAAAATGATTTTCTTTGATACTAGTCGAAAATGAAATAAAAATTTAAATCAACACAAAATATGAAAAATTTTAGGTAATTTAAAAAGCAGACAATACTTTCTTTTAAAAAGCCATGCTGAAAAGTATATTAAAAATCATTATTTATTTGACTTGGGATTCTCAGAGCCTTTGGGTACCTCTCTTCCTAGCAATTGTTACATCCAAATCCATGCTCCCCTTGGTGTCCAGAGTACACTTCTCTCTGAGATCACTCTAAATACTACCTGAGCACATGAAAAACTTCAGATGCTTTGAGGGATAGGGGAAAATTTTAACAGGTGGTTCTGGTCCTAAGGATCTTGCAATCTAGTTGAGAAGATGGAACAGATATGTACAATAAGGAATAAGATGGAGTTAATTAAATACTACCTTTAGTGGTACTGATTAAAATCTTATAGGCAAAGGTATCAGATAACTGTCTCTCCACAGGACCAAATCTGAATGGACTTTTCCAGCCTTACCTTACCGTTCCTTTGCATTCCTGACCCCACATCACCTTCCTTGGCTCAGGTAACAAAGTTTTGTGAGGTTACAATACAAGGTCTCCCTTGGCTCTTCCTTCTCTGGTGTTAACACTGAAAACTAACTTAACCATTGATGTTAAATGCAGGGTTCCACCTTTGCCCATGTTCTCGTTTTATAAATACCCATCTTAGGTAGGCTGACCATGTAATTCTTATGATCCTAATGAGATGCCTTTGAGCGTGAAAGATGGTAGTATTAATAACTACTACTCTTGGAAAGGAGGTGCAAACTAAGATTGTCCCAAATAAACTGGGATATATGGTTACCCTATTTTTAAGAGATCATATCCATGTTAGGGTTTTAACTAATATGTACCTATCAACCATTCACAAAATTAAGTCTGTACACTTGATACTTACTGAGCTGTATTTTTCAAATCTTCGTTCTTACAGATATCTCAAATTTGGTAAGGCCATAACTCACTCAATCACTTCCATTCCTAAAACCACTTGATACTTATTGAGCTGTACTTTTCAAATCTTCGTTCTTACAGGTATCTCAAATTTGGTAAGGCCATAACTCACTCAATCCCTTCTATTCCTAAAACCTGCTAATTCTTGTAATTCTTGTATTTCCTATCCAAGTTAAGGATGCTACCAAATCATTCAACTTTGCAAGCTGGCAATCATTTGAGACTTCCTGTTCTTCCTCACCCATCATAATTAATCACTAAGACATGCTGACTTTAGTTCTGAAGATTTCTCTAATCTAATATTGTCCCCCTGGACTACTGTTATAACCTTTTATCTGATTTCTCTGCTCTAGTCTTGTCTCTTTCAAGCCTGTTTTCCATGCTGCTGCCAGAGTAATCAAAAACTGACCACACTTCTTATTTGAACCTTTCATTAGGTCACTATCACTTACAAGATAAAGACTTTTATCATGATCTCATTCCCGTGTACTTCTTCAGTCTCATAACCTGTTAGTCTCTCTTTCCCTTTGCACTACAATAATACCAAATAGTTTGTAGAAACACACACACACACACACACACACACACACACACACACACACACACACACACACACACACCCCCCCCTTTTGTTCATGCTGTTCCTTCTTGCCAGCATCTATACCATTTTCTCTAATTTCTTACAGCTTGTCCAGAGGGGAGCTCAGTGCCTCTCCTTTATACTTTCTAGGTGCCTGTCCACATCTCAACCACAGCACTGGATCTATTAGCTTGAAATTAATTATATTAGTTTTTCCTACAGGTTGATAAGCTTCTTGAGGACGGGGCAGTGCTCCTTAAATCCGTAGTAGGTCGTCACTCTATTTTAGAAGCTTTTATGCATGGCTATGGATTTAACCAAGCAAATTAAAATTGGTTGGACTAAACACTGAAATGAATAAACAACTTCTTATTCCTGCATTTTTCCACATGTGCCCATATGTGTTTTCACATCACCAATGGAGAGATTAAAAAAAAATGTGTAAGAGTTTCAGCTGTCAAAATTTTGCCTGTTTCATGAAATTAATTTTAAAAAGCAGATCTTAGCATAGGAGACAGGACAATTAAATTAAAAAGGTATTTGCGATATGTCAAAGTTAAGAAAAGGGCAAATACTTGTTTAAGAATATAGATAATCAGAATACATTTTAATAGCTCTTTACTATGAAAAATTTTGTGAACATACAGGGTGAGGCAAAAGTAGGCTTAAGTTGTGAGTACATGAAACAGTTTATTCTTGCATTATTATTTATTAATTGTATGTACTTACTTATTGTATTATTTTCTATATGAACAACTGTAAAATTACTTTTCCTTTATCCTGTAGTATTTAAAGCAGTTTCTCATTCCTTTGTTTTTTTATTGCTTATATTAAAAAAGTCAGACAACTTTAAAATGAGACACTAGTATTGAATACCCTAAAATCTAGTATTCATCAAATCTCTCCAAACATCCTTCTCTACTTTCCAGATGTTTCCTCTTATGATTTCCATGTCTTTATATGATTAGCTCTGACTCAGAAAAAAGGAGTTTTTCACTTTTGTCTGTCAAAACCCAAAGTATTTGACCTTCAAGGCACAGAATAAAAATTGGGGGGGATAAAATGTGGGACTCCTGTCATTTATTCATTCAAGTAATTTGGGGGAAATTAAAAAAGTATAAGCTAAAATTTTAAAGAATTATTAGTGTTACCAGAGGCATAACAAGAGCATCTGGCACAAATGGTAGTCAATGAATAAATAAAAGAGAACCACACAGCAATTTAACAGTCAAGATTATGAATGACTTGAAACAGTTTATATTCTTCTTATAAAGACCTACACTTATGATAGCTTTTCGTTTCCTATTTAATCATCACTTTATGCAATATTTCCCATTTATATTTTGGCTTACAAATCTTGTTTTGTGAACTGTGATTATTTTTCTGAGAAGGAAAACAATCTGAGGTATTTTGAAATTTAAAACATGCTCTGGTATCTTCTTCAAGCTGAGGATTATCTGACTATTCAGGAGGGACAGGCCCCGGTTTTCCAGCTATGGGAGAGCTGATGAGATGAAATACAACTGCTATTTGGCGCTCTATTGAGGAATACAATTGGCTAAAATATAACTGAGGAGTTAAAATATTTTTAAATGTAGTATTTATTTTTTATTGGCAAGTTGTTGATACTATAAAAAACCAGCTCCAATCTCTCGATAAATATCCTTGAATATTACCTACCTGTCAGAAGGTGGAGCTCTAAACATATCTTAAATACTGGCTTTTTATATGCACATTTCACAAATGTGTGTAATGAGGAGATTAAAGCAGGAGTAAAATCTTCAGAAAAATGGTTCTGAAGAATATTCCAATTCTCTCAGGAAAAAATCACTCACATCTCCCAATATGTGCATAGTTAACTAACAAAAAAATATTTAGTATGTCCCTTTGAAACTTCAATATATTGCCTACTATAGAATGTAGGTATGGTAATTCAGAATAAGAGATAAAATATATTTAAAAGATAAAACATATTTTAAAAAATCAGGATCACCTACGTGAATGTAGGCAAGGTCATGAACACTTACGAGCATCTCGGATGTAGAGCAGCATGGCTATGAAGATATAATCGACTAAACTCAGGCTGAGGCCGTCGGCAAACAAGGCGTCCCAGACCACCAGAAGGTCCTGTAGGGGGAACTCTCGGCCAAACAGCAGCCGTATCCACCGTCTGGAGAGAAACACAACCAAAATTCAGAAAATGGTACGTATGAGAGTAATATAAAGAGGAATCGTTTTCTCCTCTGTGAAAAAATTATATTTTTTAACTGGTCACACTGAGCAAGTATTATATATCAAGAATATAATAAAGTATGACCCAAGTTTTAAGCTTTCAAACGAATTTTGTAATTTTGTAACTAGGCCAGAGTCATTAAACTTTATTCCTAACTGAGTAAAACAAAAGTACAATATTTGAAAATAGTCCAAATTTTCAATATTTAATATAAGTCACATCAAAAAGGCAAAGAGAAAAATAAATGTACAGTAGTCTGATAAATGAATCATTAAGTAAGGTTGAATTAAAAATCATACTATTCCAAAATTTCATGATTACTAATTTTTGTTTAAACTAGGCTTTAGCAAATGGTTATTTGACAAACTGCTATAGTCAAACAGAAAATTTCATTCCTATTCTAAAAATACTCATTTTAAAATTAAATGTGGAGGAAAAAACGTAGATATATGTATTTTTGGTCAAGCACAGATATTTCAAATGAAACATAAAGTGATTCTTAATTTTTACCTTTAGAATAGACATGCCTTATCAGTGAGGCTATCTGCCTAGGCATGTTTTTCAAAACGGTGACTGCTATGGACAGGAAAATGGATATCTGTGTATAAGCAGCTAAGAAGAATAATGAACAAGGTCTGTACATAATTACATATCATAAACAATAATATTTCAGACTTTCAATAAATGATTAAGTTATTTATATCTAATTCTTACAAGAAAATTAAAATAATTCACTTTGATATGTTTTTATCCATTAACTTCTAATTTTATATAACATGGCTACCATTTCCTTACATAGCCTTTCTCTAGGAACTTATCTAGAATTCTATGTGATTCTGGCACATAGTAAAGAATGAAAACTTCCAAATTTCTAGTACCACCAAACAGTACAGAGCAGAGGAAACAGTTTAAAATCAATTAATAGATATTACTGTTTTGCAAAATTTGAAACCAGATATAACCATCTGTGGGTTAAAGTGAGGCCAAAATATTCAAATACTTTCTTTAGGAATTATTACATTTAAGGAGGAATCATATCTTAATAATATAGTGTGTAATCACATATACTTATCAGTTTATTAGAAACCATACAATCACATACTTAAGTCCTTTTATTCATATTATCAAATTAATCAACAGGATAATTACATTGCAACTACATCTTAAAATATGTTACTCGGTTTTTCAGGAAAAAATTTTAAAGCCTAAGTAACATTTATGTTTTAAAAAATGTTACAGGCTATTCACAATTTTTATCTACCTTTCAATTCTTACTCCACTGCTAATATGAGAAATAAAATATACCTTTTTATCTAATGTGCCGGATATTTATGCAGCTTAGGGAAAAAACATTATTCTTTACACACTTCTAATTCTTTCAAATTACAAATGCTAATATTTACTGTTTAATAAGTATAAAAATATTTCTAGATTGAATAGGTACTCTTCTTAATTATAAAGAATTAGCTGGTCTTGCAAAAAATTATGAGGGGACCCAGAGGAATAGACAAAGCAAAAGGTAGCTGGTTAAACTATTTCGGGCACCTGTTTGAAAGATCTTTAAACTGATAACTATATCTGCATTATTAAATGACTAAACATTTAGAATATGGTTATTTACAGTTATTCAACTGAGACAACAGGAAGAAAGATTCACCGATTTAAAACACTGATGAGGATCTAATGTATAATATGGGGACTATAGTTAATAACACTGTATTGTATAACTGAAATTTGCTAAGAGAGTAAAACGTAAATGTTCTCACCAAAAATATATAATACGTGGGGTGACAGATGTTTTCATTAACTAGATGAGAGGAATCCTTTCAATGTACACATGCATCAATCATTATGATGTATACTTTAAATATCTTAAATATCTTTAAGTAAATAAATACATATCTTTAAATAATTAAGTAATTAAATGGGTTGATGAATAGGCAAATTTTGGCCGTTTCAAAATTAAAAATTCCAATCCTTAACTGATTCTGGTTCAAATCCAGATGTTAATACAAAATTTAAGCATCACACCTATAAAATAGTACCGTGCCACCTTCATTCTTGGAGGGTATTCTAATGCTTTCCTTATCTGAATAAACCCATTCAGTAACTACTGCTGCTGTTTCTTGAAAAGCATTGCTTTTGCTTAGCTTTCTTATTTATAGGGGAAAATTTTTCTGTGTTTTCCCTGCTATCTCCTATTGAAACCAGTTGACATCATGCTGTAATAGATACAATTTAGCAAAAAAAGAGATGAAGTTAAAACATAGCACAGATGAAAATACATTACTTTTTTCTCCCTTTCCTCAAAGTTCAAATTTCTCTCATTTTCTTAGGGACAATCACATCTTTGGTTTCATCACACCCAGTGCATCAAGAGCAAATAAAAACAAAAACGAAGCAAAACAAACAAACAAACAAATCCCAAAATAGTCTATTTAAGAAATAACTTACATTCCTATTATTTCTATAACAAAATGCCCAGTTATTGCTCCAACTTCTCTTGCAACCTTCCTGCTGAGATAGGGTTGTGTTAGCTTAGCTTCAAAAATGACCCCACAGATGTATGCACGCAGCAATCTCTACTGCAGCATTGTCAGGAGGGGAACTGAAAAGATCTATAATCTACATTGAATAAAACATATCCTAAAAACTACATAGAATGTAAATCTTCAGTACTTTTATATTTAATGTGTAATCTATGATGTGCTTTTATAAATGTTTCACACTGCTTTACTTTTGAAGTTTCACCTTGCCAAGTACACTGCTAAGTAATTCCAGGGTAAGGACCAAATTCTGTGTGAGTGTGTGTGCGCGCGCGTGTGCGTGCGTGTGTGTGTGTGTGTGTGTGTGAGAGAGAGAGAGAGAGAGAGAGAGCGAGAGAGAGAGAGAGAGAAAGACAGACAGACAGACAGACAGGGAGGGGGAGAGAAAGATCCAAAACATTCTTTGTAAAGAGCTCTGTACATTTTGCTAAGTGTTCTATGTATTTACCAAGGTCTTGTTAAATTCACTGTAAAGCCAACTGTCATGCTACTGAGAAGAAAAGGTGTAGCTAAATTGGAAATATAGGCACTGATCTTGTCAGTGGAGGCATAAAAATACTTCAGTAAGTGGAAAAAAATCCAGAAACATATAAGCAAAAAAATTATTATTAGATGCTTAACATGTTTCTTTTATACAAGACTGTTTGTAAGTTGTACATACAAGCATATGAAATTAAAGCAGAATACAGTTTCCTCTATTTTATATTCAGTTATAGATAAATTAAGGAGAAATTCTCAAAATATTTAAGAAGTATCATAATAACTAATGGAATGCTTTGGGACCAAGAGTGACCCTATCAATAATTTAATCATTTTTATCCCAATTGGATTTAGTTCATACATATATTCACCACACACAAAACTTCCTGTGCTATTTTGGGCTTTTTTCATTGAGCTTAAGAGGAAAAGTTCAGTTCTTTATGGAATGTGTTATCAATAGAAATCATTTTAGTAAGCTCTTCTATTCTTAGAAAGGAAAACTTACTCTAAGAAATGAGGTCTTACAAGGAAGTCACTCCTAAAATTAACACGCTTTTATTGCATTTAAAAATATTTAGTGAGAGTTTAAGTTACACTTAAGGGTAGAATTAAACCTTTCTTTTCCCCATAAAGATAGCTTCAGTTTAATTGCCTGATACTATTAATCTTGCTTTATGTATGTTACACCTGCTGATTGTAATGCTTATTAATGTATACATCTTATCACTTGTGATAATACAATAATTCATAATTTACCAGATCCACTTAGTAATTAAAATCTCCACAAACAAAAAGGACCATCTGAGGTATTAAATTTAATTATAAACCACCCAAAGACAGGACAATTTCTGTGTATGAATTTATACCACTATCCTAAATTTTAAATTTCTGCGTAATTAAGCCACTATCCCCAGGGGATGAGAAATTCCTGGTGGTATTACTGCCTGGTGAATGACCCATGAAACACCAAGAGAAACCCATTTTTATCAGTTTATGAAAATGACCATTTTGACTGAGGTTTAAATAAACATAGCCTTAATCCAATGTGGCTGTAGTGATAGTATACCTTCAGAAAAAAAAATTTATATACTAGATCTTGATTTCCTTTTCCTTTAATGACCTCTTAGTGAATTATAGATATTACCACCTTAGGACAAACAAATAAAGTAATAAAAGTATATTTAATTTAATTTAACAAGCATTTGAAGGGCTTCTTAAGTAACCTGTGATCGTGAAATGGTAACACTGGGTAAGAGTATGTTGTGTTTTCGCTTAATGATACTAACTTTTGCTTTCTGTTCACTTCTTATCCTTTTTTAAGTTGAATTTATTGGGGTGACGTTTGTTCACAAAACCACACAGCTTTCAAGTACACAACTCAACAAAACATCATCTGCACTGCATCATGCGCCCATCACCCAAGGCAAAGTCTCCTCCCATCCCCATCTATCCACCCTTTGCCCTTCTTTCATCCAGCTCCCAAAACCCTTGTCTTCTCACAGCTGTCAGTCTGGTCCATGTATCTGTGCCTCTGTTTCTATTTTGTCTGTCAGTTTCTTTTGTTCATTAGATTCCACATATAAGTGAAATTATATGGTACTCATCTTTCTCTGACTGGCTTATCTCAGCATAATAATCTCCAGGACCATCCATGCTGTCACAAAAGGTAATACTTCCTTCTTTTTTATGGCTCAGTAGTATTCCATTCTGTAAATGCACCACTGCTTTTTTATTCACTCATCTACTGATAGGCACTTGGACTGTTTCCAGTTCTTGGCTATTGTAAATAACGCTGCAATGAACACAGGGGGCATATATTCTTTCAAATTAGTGTTTTGGGTTTCTTAGGATATATTCCCAGAAGTGATATCATTTGTCAAAAGGCAGTTCCATTTTTAATTTTTTGAGAAA